GGAGAAGGAAGAGGGGGAGGGGGTGAGGGGATGCAGGGAAACAGAACACAGAAGTGAAATGTGGTGAAATGTAAATATTTGGAAAATCTGGGTATCTGGGAATGTTTTGAGCAACTTTCCTGTAAGTCTGAAATTATTTCAAAATAAAAAAAATGAAGGGCCGGGGTGGTGGCTCATGCCTGTAATCCCAGCTGCTCAGGAGGCCGAGGCAGAAGAAGCACTTGAACCTGGGAGGCAGAGGCTGCAGTGACCCAAGATTGGGCCATTGCACTCCAGCCTGGGCAACAGAGCGGGACTGTCTCAAAAAGAAAGAAAGAAAGAAATGAGAAGAAGGTGACATTTCTTGCACCACATTTGAGTTTTGCGTGTGTGTGTGTGTGTGTGTGTTTGTGTGTAGGGGGCAAGCTTTGGACCTACCCCATTTATTTTTCACCAACTAGCTAATGGGCAGCAAGGCAAGGACTTATCAGTTTTCCCTGGCCCTACCCTGGGCTCCAGGTAACCCAGCTCCAAGCTCTCAGCAGGCCCTCTCCTCTGCCTGGTCTCATGTGGACTGGACGTCACTCCCTCCTCCTCCTTCCTCCTTCCCAGCAAAGCCATTCACACCTTCCTGTCAGTTTGTCTTCTAAAAGCTTCCCCCTCCTCCCCCTCCCCTGCCCACTCCTCCTCCGTGTCCTCATCACCATTGTCAACGTCTGGATGAGGAGTGAGGGACTTAGAGAAACAGCGGAGAGGGGCTCAGGAGCCCATGAGGGCGTCTGTCATCCCCCACCTCTTCTTCTCACTCCATCCCTGTCCTGGGGGGGGGGGTCTCCCTTTTCCCTTGGGATGAGAAAGGATGGGGTAAGGGCTACGGGGATGTGTAAAGACAGGACGAAGATATAAGTGCCAGCCACAGACCCACAGAATGCCAGAAGGACGGCCCCACGGCGGAGAGGAGCAGACAGAGCCCAGCCGGGACCAGGCCCTCCCTCCGTCCCTTTGAGAGCAAAGGGACAGGCCAGGAGCGAAAGCTCTTCCAGGGTCGTTTCCTCTGGAAAGCAGCTGATGTTAGGGCAAAGACAGACAGCGTGCTGCAGAGTCAGATGAATCAACACACATGATGGAGGAGAAATGCAGCAACAACACGCTCTTTGTTTTTTGTTTTTTTGAGGTGGAGTTTTGCTCTTGCTGCCCAGGCTGGAGGGCAGTGGTACTATCTCTGGTCACCGCAACCTTCCCCTCCCAGGTTCAAGCGATTCTCCTGCCTCAGCCTCCTGAGTAGCTGGGATCACAGGCATGCACCACCACACCTGGCTAATTTTGCATTTTTAGTACAGATGAGGTTTTGACATATTGGTCAGGCTAGTCTCGAACTCCTGACCTCAGGTGATCCGCCTGCGTTGGCCTCCCAAAGTGCTGGGATTATAGCTGTGAGTCACCGCAGCCAGCCTGACACACATTCTTTATTTGTTTGCCCAACAAGTATTGAGTGAGCTCCAGGCACTGCTTTAGGGGCTGCTGTGGGGTTTCCCATCGTTGGTGCTGTTGACTTTTGGGGCTGGGTCCTTCTCTGAGCCCTGTGGGACGCTGAGCCACGCCCCCGGCCTCCACCCACGAGATGCCTGCCGAGAGTCCCTCCCAAGTCCCAAGTACAAATGTCTTCAGACTTGGTCACATGCCCTGGGGTGAGGCTGGGGTGACACTGGGGCAGAGAGTCACTCCCGGTTGAGAACTTCTGGGCTAGGCACACAGCCATGAACAAGGCACAGCTGACACCCCTCACGGGGTCTCCTCTAGCCGTGGTCAGGTGGAGATGGACAACTCACAAGAAACAAACAGGGTCCACCGTGCAAGACAGAAGTGCAAGTCACAGCGGGAGCTGCAGACGGCCGGAGGGACTGATGGGGGCGGAGGGGAAGGCAGGGCTACAGAGACGCCAGGTGCCAGTGGAGACAACCCAGGAAGACACATGCCAAGGCCCAGACGCAGACGAGAGGGAGGGAGGAGAGCCCTGGAATAGCGGCAAAGCCTGAAACACCACAGCTGGAACATAAAGTGGCAGAGGAGGAGGGGGAAGAGCAGGGTCTACCAGGGGAAACTGAGGCACAGCCACTTTTTTTTTTTTTCCGTGATAAGGTGTCCATCTTGACCTCAGAGACCAGCTATTGAAAGCCCCTGGAGTGGGGTATGGTGTGGCTCACACCTGTAAATCCCAGCACTTTGGGAGGCTGAGGTGGGTGGATCACATGAGATCATGAGTTCAAGATCAGCTTTGCCAAAATCATGAAACCCCTGCCTCTACTAAAAATACAAAAATTTGCTGTGTGTGGTGGTGGGCGCCTGTAGTCCTGGCTACTCCGGAGGCTGAGGCAGAAGAATTGCTTGAACCCGGGAGGCGGAGGTTGCAGCAAGCAGAGATCATGCCACTGCACTCCAGCCTGGGCGACAGATAGAGACTCTGTCTCAAAAAAAAAAAAAAAAAAAAAATACAAAAAAAATTCAAAGCAAAAAAAAAAAAAAAAAAAAAAAAAAAAAAAAAAAAAAAAAAAAAACTAAAAAAAAAAAAAAAAAAAAAAAAAAAAAGCAAGCCCCTGGAGTGGATGACTCTTCCCCACCTGCTTCCTCTCCACCTCTTCACTCCCTCTCCTCCCAATCCCGTCCCTTTCCTCCCTCCCTTGTATTGTCTCCTCAGGAGGCATAAAAGCCCAGGGGGTGTACAAGAGTCCAGGTCTGAGCCAGGAGCCAGAGAGAGCTTCGGAGAGCAGCCAGCTGCAGCGAGGTGAGAGCCTGGGCCGGGAGGGCCGAGGGCTGGGGGAGTGATGGGGGGCGCGAAGGGATGGGGACAACAGGAGAAACGGCAGCATTGGTGACAGGGAAAAGCTGAGGGGCAGGTACAGGGACAGAAGGGTTTGAAGATGGAATGCAGGAGGCAGTGGGCAGAAGGCATGGGTGCTGGGGGGACCAGCCGGACCGGTCCGATGTTCGGGGAAGGAGAGGGTTAATTCCCCTGGATTTCCTTTTCTTTCTTTCTCTCCTTTTCTTTTCTTTCCTTCCTTCCTTTCTCTTTCTTCTTTCATTTTCTTTT